GGAAGGAAGGAAGGAAGGAAGGAAGGAAGGAAGGAAGGAAGGTATAATAGCTAGATCACTTTTGATATTTCTTGCTCCTGGATTTCTACAATGACAGCTAAAGGAGAATGTGTATAAAAACAATGAATCATTGGATTGTTTTAAAAGTAAAAATCATGTTACTTCTGGCAAATAATCACATCTTTAGAGATGGATACTTACTTGCACAACAGTTTTCATTATATCTCGCCATGTTTTATCCACAGCTGTAAACCGCCGGCCTTCCTCAGGCATTTGAGACATGATATCTGGAGAACTGAAAATAGGTTCCAAATACAGCCATGTGGCTTGGACCTTGAGCCATTCATCTAGAATCTCCTGAAGCAACAGGAGCTTGCTCTCCCATTCTCTGAGAAGCAAAACAAATTGGCTCTTAAAATAAGTGAAGCAATATCTCAGATGACAAAACTCACAATAATGACTACAGTAGCACTCTTACATACACTGCTTTATTACAATCTCAGTTACTCTAGTTACTCCATTCAGTTACTCCATTTGAAGATTAATAACTAGTTTTATTCTACAAAAAAAGCATTTTTTAAATTATGACATCAACATCTATGCTGACCATCAACATCTATAGAGACATATATAGGAAGGTACAATTATCTATAAACAGACTGGTTTCTGCATGTTCCATTACAATAAACCTCTTTTAGTCCTATAGCTAGGAGATACACACTTAATAACTAGATTTTTAAAAGAATAATGGTATTCTCACTAATGCCTAGGCTACCATTTTTATGTATTCCATTTTCTTCAGACAACTTGTAATTTTCCTAGATTTCATACTTTATACATCCTAATTATTAATAGGTATTTGCAGCTGTTTCTCTTTATTTTGAATCATGCCATATCAATAACTGAAGGTCGATTATTGACTGAAACATTACTGTTGTTGTTTTGTACCATCGAGTCAGAACAGATGCATAGCTAACCCTCCAGTGAATTTACATGGGTGGAGATTGCCTGTCTTTCTTCTGAGGAGTTGCTGATGGAGTCAAACCACATGCATTTAAGTTGGCATGTAATTCTATCATTAAAGCCATCAGAACACCCTTAAAAATCATTACTACATCTATGCAATTTAGGTAGACTCCACTTGGAGGAGGCAACTCGATTCAAGTCATATTTTGAGTGTCTTCGATCCTGAAGGCCTCATCTCCAGCCCCGTACTAGAAAATGTTCCAGTGCTATTCACAGACTCCACAGGACTTGTTAATTCAGAAGCAAAGAGTCAGTTCCTCCTGCCCCATCTTGGTCTGATTTTAGTCTGGAGGTTCCACTAAGCCTGTCAACCATGGGTGTTCCTGCTAGTATTACAAATACTAGTGGACTAGCTTCTAACATTAAATCAACACACAGACACCTCAGTATGACAAACTGTCAGTCAGGTGGTGGGGCATTAGGACTGGAGGAAGACTTCATTAACAATCTGCATGATGTAGATAACGCAACCTTGCTTGTTAAAAGTGCAACATCAGAATGAATGAAGACAAGACTGAAGTTGTCAGGAATTTCATTTTCCTGAGGTCCACAGTAAACACTTTTGGAAGCAGTAAATTGAAAAATGGATGGGCTGTGTGAGAGGAGCATGAGTGCCAGCTGCCACATCAGGCCACCGTCAGCCTAGAGCTTATAGCCTTCCCTCCACCTCCAGGCACCCGATCCACCTTCACAGTCGGCACCTACCCCACCCTCAGAGGAAACTGCCCCCTCACAGGAAATGCTGACTCACAGGGGGCGCCATCCCCCACCGTGGGTGCTGCCCCAACTACAGCAGGTGCCTCCCACTGTACCTGAATTTTGAACTTTTGCTTTGAAGGATCTGGAAAAATGTGGCCCTATCACTACTAGGACACAGCTACACAGAGACCTGGCCCTGCCTGAGATGTTCTGGGTAGAATTCTGTGTAGGCCTGCCAAAGGCCCTCCAGTGAGTGATGTAGACAGAGAAAAGAGGCCTCTTAGCCCAAAGATCCCCATCTAGCCTGATATTTATACTCTGACCCTATGGCAAGCAGAGCTCTGAGAAGCTCTTTTTCCCTAGTGATATCCTTACCAGATACTCACTCCTTAAGACTCAGCAGAGAGGAGAGTCCTTGGGAATCCCATTCCAAGGACCTCACCCAGCTTCAGAAGCATGCTCTGATCCTGCGCTGAGTCGAGCTACAGGAAGATACATGTTTCTGCCTACAACTCAGCCAAATGAGCCATCCACAGCCATATCGAAGAGATTACCTGCACTGCTGAGACTGTGGAGATACTAAAGTTCTATTCAACATATCCAAGGTGGAAGAAAAACTCTCTCCAGAACCGAAGTCTTCATTTAGATTTATAAACTCAAAGAACTAAGCCTATCACCATCAGACCATCAATAAACAGAATATAACACAACTATTTTTTTTCACAAAGACATCATCACAATAACATTGAAGAAAGCAGATGACCTCAACCCATACAAAATCAAGGCAAGATGTCACATACGCCAAAAAGTGATCAAAATGCAGTCAATGGATTTCATTGAGGACAAAAGGCTGATAGAATTTCCTGATACAGAATTCAAACAACAATGGTCAAGTGATTTCAGGATAGGATGGCTAGAAATAAATGGAACAAAAATACAGAAGAACTAAACTATACAAATAACCAACTTGGCCTCATAGAAATATGCAGGGCAGTGCACCCTAAAAAAAGTTTATTCTTGTCCAGCATGCACATGATATTATCCAGAATAGATCTTATATTAGGCCACAAAGCAAGATTCAACGAATTAATTAAAAACATTTAAATACTACAAAGCATTTTCTCATACCACAATGCTATAATTAGAAACATACAATAAGAGGATAAAGGAGGGAAAAATCATGCACTTGGTAGCTAAATAACACCCTGCTTGAACACTACTCTATGGCAAAAGAAATTAAAAATTTTCTTTAATCAAATGAGAATAAAAACACAACTTACCAAACCCTCTGGACCACAGGAAAAGTAGTTCTTAGAAGTCAATTCATAGAAATAAGCAAACACAACAAAAGGAAAGAATAAAAATTAACTATTTAACATAACATCTCCAACAATTAGAAATATAAAAGCAAACAAGCCCAACAAGCTTTAAAAGAAACAAAATTCTTAAAATAAAAGCCGAACTAAATGATAAGAAAACAGAAAGACAAATGAAACTATCAATAAGATTAGGAGTTGGTTCTTGAAAAGGCGTCAATAAAATTGACAGACTACTGTTAGTTTTTAGGCAAAGCTTAAAAAAGAAAATATAGAAAAGATACAAATTAGATATATAAGAAATTAAATGGCTACATCAAAACAGATCCAACAGAGAGACAAAATAGTGGAATTGTATTAAAAGCTATAATATGAAGACCTAAAGTAAATAGACAATTACTTAGCAACTCACAAACTACCCAAACTGACACAGTCTGAAGTAGAACTTGAACTGATTCATCACAAAAGAAGAAACTGAGCAAGTCATTTAAAAAACTCCCAACAAGCAAAAAAAAAAGGGGGCCTGAACCAGCCAGCTTTACCAATAAATTTTACCAAACATTCAGAGAAGAATTGTCACCAATTCTACATACATTTTTCAGAAAATAGGAAAAGAAGAAAGACTCCCAGATTCATTCTATGACACAAATGTAATTTTAACATCACAGTCTCGTATCGTAAAGACATCACCAAAAGAGAAAACTACAAATCAAGGTCTATCATGAGCATAAAGACAAAAATCCTGAACAAAATATTAATAGAATCCCACAACATATTAAAAGAGTAATATATCACAACCGAGATTCCTAACAGGTAAGCAAGGACAGTTCAAAATAAGAAAACCAAAAAAAGTAATCCATCATATCAATCAAGCAAAAGAAAAAAGCTACATAATCATATTAATTGACATGAAAAAGGCTTCCGGCAAAATTTAACACCCTTTCCTCATAAAATCATTCAGCCAAATAGGAATAGAGGGGAATTTCAATTAACAGCATATACTCTAAACCAACAGCCAATATCAGTCTCAATGGATACGGATTAAAGGCATTCTCCTTGTAAACAGGGACTAGGCAAAGATGCTCATTATCACCATTCCCATTCAATATTGTATGGAAGTGCTAATGAGAACACAATATTGCAAGAGAATGAAATAAGGGACATCCATACTGGCAAAGAGGAGCTTAAACTTTCCTTATCTGCAGATGATATTATAATATACATAGAAAACTCCAAAGACTCAGGAAGAAAATTGTCGGACATAGTTCATCAATTCAGCAAAATAGCAAGATACAAAATCAGCATACAAAAATCAGTCCAATATCTCATGAGTAGTAAAAAGAGCATAAACAAAAAAATAATACCAAATACATTAGTTAACCACAAGATGAAATACTTAGGAACTAATCTAACTAGAGACACATTAGACCTATATAAAGAAAACTACAAAATGCTATTACAAGGAACAAAAAGAGACCAAGATAAATGGAAAAATGTACCACGCTAATCTACAGGAATACTCAATATATTAAATGCTATCAAGAGCAATCTACAAATTAAGTAATCTCTATATTAATACTGATGTCATTCTTCAATGAAATAGAAAAGACAATTTCCAATTTTATCTAGAAAGGAAAGAGACCCCTAATAAACAAAGTATCACTGCAAAGAAAAACAAAAACCAAGTAGGAAGTATCACACTCTCTGACTTCAAAACTTACTACACAGCCATAGTAGTCAAGACAGCATGGTACTGGTACAGGGGCAAACACACAGATTGGTACAAGAAATTAAAGAACCCCAAAATCAACCTATCTATCTATGGCCAACTGACCTCTGAAAAGAAAAATAAAATTAATTAAGTGGGAAGATATGCTGGCAAATTGGACAATCATCAGCAGAAAACTGAAGCAAGTTCGACACCTCACACCATGCACAAAACCCAATTCAAGTAGGATCAGAGATTGAGGCATAAACTCAAAACTATGAAGCTTATTAGAGAAAAATTAGGAAGAAACTTAGAAACCTTAATATTTGGCATGAATATACTTTCAAGCATAACTAAACCTACAACCAGGAAAAGATAATATAGATGATGAGACCTTCCAAAAATCAAATCCTTGTGTGCATAAAAAAACTTCTCCAACAGAGTAAGAAGGAGGCTCACAGATTGGGAAAAAATATTTGGAAATGACATATCTGAGAAGGGATATGTAACTAAAATGTACAGACTACGTCAGCACATCAACAAGAAAAAGTCAAACAGCCCAATCACAAAAAATAGGCAAAAGAGATGAAACAAAGAACATCAGATGACCAGCAAATATGTGAAAAACAATGCTCAAAATTGCTAGTTGTTAGGGCGATGCAAATCAAAACAACGATGAGATATCATTTCACCTCAGCAACAATAGCAATGTTCAATGGGTAGCAAACAACAAATACTGGAAAGGATGTGGAGAGATTGGAACTCTCATAAACTGCTGGTGGGAATGTAACACTTCTGGCACTATTAGTCAGGAAATCAAAAGATGAGTTGTTTTAGGAAAACCTGCTGTCAGGGACTTCTCCAGAGTGCTAATGACCAATGATGTCCATGTAGAGACTAAGGATCACCTGATCCAGGCCATGGTCTTCGCAATTACATGCAAAGTGTCAGACAGCTGGACAATTAGAGAGTTGAACAATCACTAAGGATGACAGAAGAAAAACTGACACCTTTGTGTTGTGGTGTTGGGGAAGAATATCGAACATATCCCAAGAAAACAAACAGGTCTGTCCTGGAGAGGGTGAAACCAGGTTGTTACTTGAAGGTAAGGATTCTGAAGCCCTGTCGCACATACTTTGGATATATTGCCAGGAGGGAGCAGTACTTGGAGAAGGACATCATGCTTGGAAGGGTAGAGGGTTAGTTAGCACAAGAGAGAAAGACTCAGTATGAGATGTAGTGACACAGTGACTGTGGCAATGGAGTCAGTTGTGTCACAGACAGTGACACTGGCTCACGATACTCTAAGGTTCAGAGATACTGTTAATAAGGTCACTATGAATAGTAGTCAACTCGACAGTACAAAACAACATGAATTTCAGTGAACTCTATGACACCTAACCACAAATTAGTATGCTGGAAAATCACATTTTTATCTTCAGTTTTATAGTCTATATATTATGGTGTATTATGGTATTAGAATATCAGCAATAAAGATGAGTACGTAGATGCAGATTGCATTGTCTTTGCTATGAAAAAAGTAGGTAAGACATCATTATGGCAATAAGGGGGTCTGTTTCATTCCAATAGCAAAGAGGCTATCATCTCTTAAAATGAACTTTAAAATATTCAATGTAAAATACTGAATTCATTTTTTTAAAAAAACCAAAACACTATGCATTAAATACAAATGTTCTGGGTAACACAATATAAATATTGTCATGCAAACATTACCTCATTTGTGTTTCATAAGGCTTAATAAAAGGTGATCCTCGCATGGTTTGTGTTTTAATACTGTGATCATCCAACAATATCTGGATTTCATCAACTGATGACAAAATAAATGTCCCAGTTTCTCGATAAGGAAGAACGACAAATTCCATTGCATCCCATTCATTCGTCATCTTGTCCATGGCCTTTTCAAGAGAATACTCTTTGCTAGCTGCTTCACTAATATTTTCAAACTTATCTAAATAGGGTTCCAGATTCATGTCTATAAAAGAGAAGACAGTAGCATCATCTGTTGGCTTCAAGGGGTAACCAACAATGTTGGACATGGCCTCCCAGTGCCTGGCTCGCAACCCAGGATTACAGATCACTTGAATGAGAGGGAGGTGCTGCTTGAAATCTTCCACCTTTGCTCTCACTTTTTTTGCCATTGCCAATGCATTTGGAGAATCATGGAAGGTTTTTTCCAGCTTATACAGTCCTCTCCAGTAATTTCCAACATCTTGTTCTACTTGGTCTGGATTCACCTTGTGATATGGTCCTTCAGTCCATCCTCGATATTTGTTGCCAAACTCAACAGCAGTGTCATAGAGACGAAGATAAGGATTCAAACCATCTTGAATTTTTTTACGTTGAGGATATACTGATGGTAACCACCCAAAGGCTTCCTCTTCAACATTGAACTGCTCAATCTGGAAGAATAAGTATTAGACATATTAGTTATTCTGAAATCATGGTCAAAATTAAGCTTTAAAAATATTTATTTCAGCAGAGCACTTCTGAAAGGCAAAAATGGAGAGAGAGGAATAGCACTCCCTAACCTCAAAACCTACTACACGGCGGTAGTAACCAAAACAGCATGGTGCTGGTACAATGACAGGCATGCAGAACAATGGAACTAAGAACCCAGAATTGGACCCTGCTATCTATGATCAACTGATATTTGACAAGGAAATTAAACATACCATATGGCGAAATGACAACCTCTTCAGCAAATGGTGCTGGCAAAACTGGACTGCTACCTACAGAAAGCTCAAACGGGATCTACATCTCATACGATACACAAAAATCAACTCAAGGTGGATCAGAGAGCTGGGAGTATAGGCCAAAACCATAAAGTTCTTAAGAGACGAATTGGAATCAAGCTTAGATGGCCTAGTTCATGGTATAAAGAGACTATCAATTACAGCCAGAAATGCTCAGTCTGGAGAGAATAAAATTGATAAATGGGACCTTCCAAAGTTTAAATCCCTGTGTACATCAAAAACATTTTCCAACAGAATGAAAAGAAAACCTACTGACTGTGGAAAAAAACATTTGGCAATACCATCTCAGACAAGGATCTCATGTCAAAAATTTACAGAATCCTACACCAGAAAAAGACTGATAACACAATCACAAAATGAGAAAAAGACATGGAAAGTCCATTCATAGAGAAAGATATTTGGATGGCCAACAGACAAATGAAGAAAGGTTCAAAATCACTGGCAACAAGAGAGATCCAAACCAAAACCGCAATGAGATACCATCTCACCCCAATAGTAGTGGCAAAGTTTAACAGAACAGCAAGTAATAAATGTTGGAAAGGATGTGGTGAGATAAGAACTCTTATACATTGTTGGGGGGATTGTAAAATGGTACAACCACTCTGGAAGGCAGTTTGGCCTTTCCTCAAAAAGCTGAACACAGGAGCTCACATTTTAAAAAAAAAGAAGGGGGGGGGAAGCTGAATATAGAAATTCCACTACTTGGAATATACACAGAGAAAATTAGAACTGAGGCACAAACGGAGATCTGTACACCAGTGTTTATAGAAGCATTATTTACCATCACAAGGATATAGAAACAGCCTAAGTGTCCAAACATAATCAAATATATTGAGAAATTGTGGTATATTCGCACGATGGAATACTACACATCATGAAGGAGCACTGATTTTGTAAATTACTACCTAACTTGGAAAGGACTGGAGAACATTATGATAAGTGAACTAACTAAATCCCTTAAGGACAAATACTGTAGAAGACCATTATTGTAGAAATAGAAAGATAACTAGTAAAACAAGTATGAGGATCAAAGGCAGAGAGGGTAGGAGCAGAGGGGTGAGGATGGGCAGGGGAGTAATCACAGAGTCCCACAATATGACTAGTAGAGGGAGGGGTGGATAAAAGGAATGAGAAAGATCTGGTGTGAAAAACAACACATAAGAACTTTGTACCAGTATAAAATAAAAATTTTATTTTAAAAAGTTTCTTTCAAAATATGACCTAAAGTAATCCCTACTAAACCCTTAAACTTAAGCTAAGCCATATCCTAGGAAAGTAGAATAGTGATCACTTCTTGTTTCTTCTTCAATATAATGTCCAATATTTAAAAATGGATTAAATAGTTAAAAGAGCCAAAAAGATTTACATATACAAAATATCTTTGCCCCCAAAGACATACAGAAGATTCAGGTTCATTAATTAGCCAGCAATATCCCCTGGACTTCCAAAAGAACACAGATGTGTCCTGGAAATGGTACAGCCACTGTGCTCCTTGGAGACAAAGATGGTGAAATTTCACCTTTCGTACTCTGGACATGTAGCTGAGCGAGGGTACTCCCTCAAAATGGACATTATGCTTGGAAAGATGGAGGGTCAACAAAGGATAGGAAGACTCCCCCCAGTGAGATGGATTGTCATAGTGACTTCAGCAGTGGGCTCTAGTGTATCAGAGATGATGAGGATGGCACAGGCTAGGACTGGGATCAAATAGGCTCTTTTTTTAGACATCTTTGTCTTTGTACTGACATCCTTGCACTTTATAACTTTAAAGTGTTATACAGTAGAAGCAGGGGGGCATATTCTAATAGACTTTTAATAGAGTCGCTATGAGTGGTACTCAACTTGACAGCACCTAACAACAACAACAACTACAACTTGCTAAGGACTTCACAGCAATGTGTAAGGGACTTGGAAAAACAAAGGGTAAAAATTACACTATACTGCAACAAACTAATCTCAAGAAGTTAGTAATCCAGCTGAGAAGGTAAGACAGGCATGCCTTAGGCAGTTAAATAAAAACTCTCCTCTAATACTATAAGCAATAGAATAGATGTCTCAAAATATTATCTATTGTTGTTGTTGTTGTTGTTATGTGCCATCGAGTTGTTTGCGACTCAAAGCGACCCTATGTACAACAGCGCTAAACCATGCTCTATCCTGTGCCAGTCTCATTGCCTCTGACACACCCATCCCGATTACCCTAGTCACTGAACCAATCCACCTCATAGAGGGTCTTCCCCTCCTGTGCTGTCCCTCTACTCTACCCAGCACGATGTCCCTCTCTAAAGACCTGTCTCTCCTTACAGCATGTCCTAAGTATGTCAGACAAAGTCTCAGAATCCTTGCCTCCAAGGAGCAGCCTGGTTTAGCCCTCTCTAGGATGAAACTGTTTTGTTTTCTTGGCAGTCCATGGTACATTCAATACTCCTCTCCAGCACCACAGCTCAAAAGGCGTCAATTCTCTCCTTCTATCCTCCCTAGTCATTGTCCAACTCTCTGATGCATAACAAGTCACTGCAAAAACCATGGCCTGTATCAGGCGAACCTTAGTCTCCAGAGAGACACCGTTGTTCTTGAGTACTTTAGAGAGGTCCCTAACAGCAGACTTTCCAATCGCAATACATTTTTTTTATTTCCTGGCTGCTGGTGCCAAGAGTGTTGACCATGGAGCCGAGCAAACTGAAGCTGTGAACAATCTCAATCTCTTCACCATCCATCCTGATGCTACCGATTGGTCCAGTGGTGAGAATCTTTGTCTTCTTGACATTGAGCCTCAGTCCATACTGAAGGCTGCAGTCCTTGACCCTCTGCAGCAAGTGCATGAGGTCCTCCTCAGTTTCAGCGAGCAGGGTTGTGTCATCTGCATAACGCAGATTGTTGCTAGATCGTCCACCAATCCTAACACCACATGTCACCTCATAGAGCCCAGCCTCTCGGATAATCTGCTCTGCATACAGGTTGAAAAGGTATGGAGATAAGATACATCCCTGGCATACACCTTTCCCAATTTTGAACCATGCAGCGTTCCCCTGCTCTCTTCTGACTACTGCCTCTTGGTCCAAGTATAGGTTTCGCATTATCATGATCAAGTGTTCTTGGATTCCCATTCTTCTCAGAGTCAGCCACAGTTTGTTATAATACACGCAGTCAAAAGCCTTGCCATAATCAATGAAACACAGATACACATTCTTCTGGTATTCTCTGCTTTTAGCTAAGATCCATCTAACATCAGCTACAATATCCCTAGTACCACGATCCCTTCTAAACCTAGCCTGGACTTCTGGCAGTTCTCTGTTGATGTACTGTTCCAGTCGTTTTTGGATAATCTTCAGTAGAATCTTGCTTGCATGTGAAATCAATGATATTGTTCTGTAGTTTCCACACTCAGTTGGGCGGCCCTTCTTTGGGATGGGAACAAATATAGACCTCTTCCAGTCAGTTGGCCAAGTGGTTGTTCTCCAGATTTCTTAGCACAACTTGGTGAGCACATCCAGGGCAGCATCTGTGAGCTGAAATATGTCAATTGGTATACCATATATTCCGGGGGCCTTATTTTTTGCTATTTCCTTCAAAGAAGCTTGAACTTCTGCCTTCATCACCATAGGCTCTGGCTCAAATGCTATTTCATTAAATTCTTCTGTATCTGCCAATTCCTTTCAATACAATGACTCAGTATATTCCTTCCATCTTCTTTTGATACCTCCTGGATCATTTAAGATTCTGCCTAAAGCATCCTTGATTGTAGCAACTCCAGGTTTGAATTTGTTCTTCAGTTCCTTGAGCTTAAGAAATGCCGAGACCAGGCAACACAGAAGCGAACCAAACAATAGCTTCTGAGACGCCTCCAGGTACCAAGCCCCAAGGCAGAGCCAAAACCAGTTGGGAGAAGCAATGCAAAAAATTTCCAAGTTTCTGCTTTATTCTGATTAATGGTGACTCTTTGTGTGTCAGAATAGAACTGTGCTCTCTAGTGTTTTCAGTTGCTGTTCTTCTCAGAAGTAGATTCCCCAGGTCTTTCTTCCAACGTGCTTCTGGATATAATTCTAAAGTTCGAGTTAACAGCTGAGCACACTAACTATACATATATAAAGAGATAAAATCTGCATTGAGTCTTGAAAACAACAAAAGAGGCAAAGCAGATATTCTTCCTCTTACTTTGGTAGTGAAATATGTAAGAATATAAAATGTTAGAAGCCTGGGGGAAATGTGTATAGAACTGAAGTATGAGTTACATATTTAAATTATTCAGCTTACTTAAAATCAGGGATCTCAATTTCATAAAAAAGAACAAAAATGAACCAAAACTAGAATTAACTTCTCTTTCCTAATGTGTGCTTATCTACTTAGGATCATTATGAACTATTATCTGAACTTTAAAATATTAAAATCTTTCATTGTAAGAAAAGATAAAACACAATTGGTATATTTTACATATATGGAACATTGTCTGATTTTCTTCTTCATAAAAAAACTAAAATTTTCCAACATCTTATATGCCAAAAATTGTGGCATTTCTCCTTTAATGCTCTTGTAATGAGAAATTTGATCTCTAAACGGCACTGTCAGGAACAAAGTGGCTTGGTAGGAATAAAATAATAGGCCTACTTGAAAACATAGGGGGAAAATAGACATATATGCTATCTTCTATGAAGATTGAAGAATTACTCAAGGTAGCTGGGAGCTGTCAGTTGTGTTTAGGGTACATTCAGTAAAAGAATGCTTACCTTCCATGCTGATAATTGCCCCTATGAATGTAGCCAAAAGAACAAGCATAATGATGTACCACCCACCACTTATCTATTAGTAGGGCTTTCGGGGCTCTATGATATCAAAAGGTTTCAGCTGAGCTTCCAGAGTGGAAGAAGCAAATTGGAAGGCCTGGGTACATACTTGTGAAAATAGGCCAGTGAAAACCATATGGACCACAAGAGTTCCATCCCCTCATGTGGACCAGTACCAGTCAGTGTTTCATTTTGTTGTGCATGTGGAGTACCAGCTCAAGAGGAGCCATCAACAAAAATCACTTCTACACAAAAATATGTAATCCTATCCAAGAGGCTGGGCTCTATGAGGAGAAATGTGGCATCAGGATTAGAGGAAGAGATTCATCAACAATCTGCATTATGCAGGTGAAACAACCCTGTTTGCTGAAACTGAGGAGGATCTGAAGAGCTTGCTGCAGACGGTCAAGGACTACAGCCTTCAATATGGATTGAGGCTCAATGTCAAGAAGACAAAGATTCTTGCCACTGGACCAATTGGCAGCATTATGATAGATTGTGAAGAGATTGAGATTGTTACAAGCTTTAGTTTGCTTGGCTCCACAATCAACATTCTTGACACCAGCAGCCAGGAAATTAAAAGATGTATTGAGATGGGAAAGTCTGCTGTTAGGGACCTCTCCAAAGTACTGAAGAGCAATGGTGTCACTCTGGAGACTAAGGTTTGCCCGATAAAAGGCATTGTCTTTGCAATCACTTGCTATGCATCAGAGAGCTGGGAAATGACTAGGTATGACAGAGGGGAAAATTGATGCCTTTGAGCTGTGGTGTTGGAGAAGAGTATCGAATATACCATGGACTGCTAAGAGAACAAACAGGTTCGTCCTGGGGAGGGTGAGACCAGGCTGCTCCTTGGAGGCAAGGATTCTGAGGCTTTATCTGACATACTTTGGACATGTTTCAAGGAAGAACCAGTCCTTGGAGAGGGACATTATGCTTGAGAGGGTGGAGGGACAGCACAGGAGTGGAAGACCCTATGAGATGGATTGATTCAGTGACTGGGGTAATGGAAGTATGTGTGTTGGAGACAGTGAGATTGGCATAGTATAGAGCAGGGTTTAGGGCTGTTGTACATCGGGTCTCTATGAGATGCAGGTGACTTGACAGCATATAACAACAACAACAACGTCATAATATAACTATTACATTTATATGATATAAAAAGAGGGAGCCATAGAGGTAACTCTTTAAGATGAAAGATTAAGACAGCTGAGTTGCTATTACTACTGAGAGAAACCACAATGCTGTTCTTGAAGTCCCTCTTTCAAATATATGTGGAGGCAGTTTAGCATTTGTATTTCATCTACTTCTTAAAGGTGTATATACAATGAAAACACAATATTTTTTCACTTGAAGTAATTCATTCTCTTAACAATTTGAAAATTCTACCTTGTCTGCTGCTGCATCCAATTTTCCATTCAGAGTTTGGGCCTTTTTCAGGTATCGTTGTACATCCTGAAGATCCCCAAAGGTGTAAAATTCTTCTGCCTGCTTAGAATAACTCTCCAATTCCTCCTGAAACCGCTCACAGCGTAACTAAGAGAAATAGCATTAGCTGTTAATGTTTTTAAAAGTTAAAACCCCTACCATCACAAGGAAAAAAAGTTAAGTATCTGTAAGAATCTTTAGAATTAATACTACGTTTTGTCACTGGCAAAATACAAAGACATGATTTAGAATATAACTAGGACCTGAAATAATGGAGACTGTTTTAAGAGTCAGCACTAAATAGTAATAAAGTAAAATATCGTTAATTCAATTTCCCTAGGTCACAAATTAGGTAAGTAATACCCTTGTAATGGCCTATGTAGGTAGTTCTAACCAGTAAAATAAATATATTAAACTCTGGTATTCTTCAGCATGCCAAAGAATTTACCAAAACAAATGTTTTATAAGTATTTGAAAAATCTTATAATAATGAAGTATGGGGGTCAGAGAAATCATCAGTTTACTAAAGGGTGCAAAAATACCTGTGGCATTATGCAAACAAACAAAAACCTCTCAATTTCTGTCATTTAATTCGGATACTCATACACTCTTTAAATATCAACACCAAAACCATAGGCTATTGTTCTTGATCTATGGATTCTTTTTCTAAAAAATGCATAATTATATTTAGATACAAAAGTTAAAAAAAATCTGTAATATTTCAATTGAAAAAAATGGATGATTTCCTTAGTGAGAAAGACTTACTACAAAATTTTTATTGGTTGTATATTACAAAAGATTCTCAAAAAATGGCTGTTAATTAAATACTCAAAAGCCAATTCTAGATTATTCAAAAATACATTTTCTACTTTATGGATTGTCTAGGTTAATTTCTATCCTTTTTTTCTCTAGTTTCCCAGCAAATGTATTGCATTGGCCCCAGTAGGGGAGGGGAAAAATTCATCAACTTCATGTGTATTTGGTGAATTATTACTTTACAATAAAAACAATCCAACAATTTTCTAAGGGTCCATTTTAGCTTTTGTACCTAATGCTTACTTATATAAGTTTTATGTCTAATATTTACTATTAATAATGCCTTCTATAAGTCTTCTCGTAGACTACCATTTTAGATAAGGACATATTTGTGAATATTTTTCTGTGAATAATTTATTCTACCAATTAATTACATTTGTTGCAGTGCAGTAGAGAAAAAGAGGTTTGCTACCAAAGGACATCCCTATTGGGTAACCTGGAACAGGTATCTTAGGTTCTGAGAACCTTCATTTTACTTGTAAAATGAGACTGAAATATAAAATCATTTACCCAGAAAGATAGCTATGGTATGCTCATTATATTACTGTTCCAGGAGGGACCCAAATGCAGAAAAAGTAAAAATTAAGCAGTCCTGCTCCTATGTAGATGGCTGTCCCATGGAAAGGAGGACATGAAATTAAAAACAGAATGACAGGATTACTGGTCCTGGGGCGATGCTTTTAAAATGCAATGCAAATGGAGAAGAAGCCGTTCTAAGGACTGCCTGAGAAGCTTTTCAGAAAATACACTGACTATGTTAGATAGTTAAGCATGTGTACAGCATGGTGTATTCTTGAGTAAGTGGAAAGGAAGTACAAAGATGGGAGGAGTGGGGAAGCATGGCACATGCAGAAGTCTGGAAGTCGCTCAGGGTCACCTAAGAGTCAAGAGCAAGGAGTAAGAGGAGGTAGGTGAGGATGGACTGGGTGACCAGGGCCCAACATGACAAAGCAACATTCACATGAGATTTTTTTTGAAAACATATTTGATTTCTTGTATGATATAGTATTGACTTTTGGCATACCACCTTATAGAGCTAAGCAATTATGAGATGGAAAGACACAGATCACAGTAAAATAATATAACCAAGTCACATGAGTGTTAAGAGGCTGTGTCAGATAAATACTACTTTCTATCCATGGTCACTTGTGGGTCAAAAGGTTCTAATGTTTACTTTCTGTTAAAAATAATTTTTATCATTTTGCTTTTCGGAAAAATCAATTGACTCCACATCAACCAATATTCTGCCTGCTCAGTCCTTAAACACTCAACAAACATTTGAAAATGTTTGGCATATGAAGTATCTTTTGATTAGAGTTATAATATTAGAAAGCTCAATATTTTCTTTTTACTCATCAAAATAAAGAAGGTAGTAGTGCTATGTTAATGTGTAAACATTTCCAGAAAATGAAAATAATTAGAAGTAGTTATGCAACTAACCTTAAGACCTTCTTGGTACTGTTCTGTTTTCTCTTTAACAATTTTCCTGTGTTCTTCAAAAATTTCTCCCATTCTTGCATACCACTGGAAAACATTATTATTTAGCCTGATGTCTGCTGGAGAGAAGGTGGCACACTCAATAAGGAAGGCGAGGCAGTTTTTGGAATCCACTAATCTCTGTTCCAATTCAATCATGTCAGTGGTCTCCACTTTCTGAATGTATGCCTGAGGGAAGAAACATTAGAAGATGGTGCTTTCACTGACAAAGGAGATTAATCAGAACTGGCTTTGACAAGCACTGTGGCAATTGGACAATTAAAACAGACATTCAAGGGGGGGGAAAAAGAACAAACTTGGAGGAGGGTAGGGAAAAGAGTGCAACAATGAATGAATGAAAACCCAAAATTTCTGTAAATGTTCATTAAAACTAATAAAATTTAATAGTAATAATAAAAGAAATTAATAATAATTAAAAAAATTTAAAACACTATAAAAATAAAATAAAAAGGAGGAGTTTATGTCCTAAAAAAAAAAGAAGAAGAAGATGGTGCTTTAATGACGAGCTCCTGCACTTTGGTGACACAGTAGGGGCCGTGCTGCTAACTCAAAAGTGGCACCTTCTGGGAGTTCAAATTCAGCACTGGCTCTTGGGGAGAAAGATGAGCTATCTCCTCGAGCACAATTTACAATTTCTGAAAATCCACTGGAGGGTCAGTGTGAGTCAGTTCTGACTCACTGGCAGGAATTTTTGCACCCTGTGAAAAAATGTTGTTAGGTAACATCAGATTCCAACTTCAGGTGACCTTATGTGCAACAGAAGAAAATGCTGCCTCGTCTCATGTCTGCTTCACAAGCTCTGCTCTAGCTAGTTGTCACTGCTGGAGTCGCTGTGTCAACTCACCTTATCTAGAATCTTCATATATTTTACATTTTTTTTTCTTTGCTAATTATTTCTTTTTGAAGTATTATTTTGTTAAATAAAAGGATTAGTGCTAGAATTTGGATTCTACTTCTCCGCAGTCTCTGGAGATCTGGTGGTGCAGTGCATGGAAAGTTGTGCTCAGCTAGCGAAGGGGGTCATTGCTCTAGCTGTTTAAAACAACGAGCAGCTCCACGGAAGGCAACCTCCTTCCACAAGATTTACACTCTCTGAAAACTCTCTGGAAGATCAGCTATGAGTTGGTTTTGACTCAACAACAACGAATTTCACAGTAATTGCTTGCTAATATGTGTTCATACATAGTAAATAAATACACACAGACATCTTAAAGGAAATTGCAGAGTTTTGGTTCAAGACAGAGAACTGTGGCATGGTTTACCTCACATCCTTTCCCATAGCTCTTCTAAAGTGAGATAGAAAAATAACAATCAACGCAAAAGCACTGCAAAGCCAGAGAGAGTGCTATGGGATTCTGGAAGCTATAAAGCAGATGTTACCAGAGTAACAGCATTTATTCTTTCAGAATAGACTTACTGGGCACTTACTGTGTACTAGACAGCATGCCAGCTGCTTGAGATACACTGGATTGCAAGCAAACACAAAATCATTTATCCTTGTGGAGCTTACAGTCTTGTTAGGAAAAGAAACTTGCAGCAGAGGTGACCGGTGCAAAGCTATAGTGCCCTGCTTAAGTAGAGCATATAGAAAGGACGTGAAGAGTTTGAGGTGGAAGGTAGGATTCACAAGCAGAGAGCAGAGGCATGAGTAGGTGTTGTTGAAGAAATGGGCAAGGGGGGAGGATTACAAGCACATGAAAAGTGTGTTGTATGAACACTAAGGAGCAAGTGTGGTGTAAGCAGGGAGGGAGGTACACAGGTTCAAATCATGAGGCAGAGTCTGCTGAGCCTTGTGGGATTCAGGTGACAGGACATGATTGCACAGATATCTCATGCTCTCTGAAAATATCATTTTGCACTGACCAAATAGTAGAGATTTCAGAGCATAAGAAAGTTGATAAGGAAAACCGTTAGCACTTTATTAAATGGCATTTTGGTGTATTTTCTGGAGGTTTATAAAGATGCAAATTATCCTCTAATTAGCTATAAAATTGACACAATTTTAATAAAAATTACAATGACATATTAAAGCTGAATTTGATGTCACTATAAAATTCTCTGAAATAATAAATATCCAAGAACATTAAAGATAATCTTAAAAAAGAAAAATGGTACCGATTAGCTCCCCAGATATCAAACTATAATATGCAGTCACAGTCATTTAAACAGCTGTTAGTCTGGACTACAAATAGAAGATGGAATAAAATAGGTAAGAGTTCAGAAATGGGTCCACATACACAAGGAAATGTAACTGGAGTCAGAATGTGGCAGATCACTTAATAAATTTATTGAGGTAACAGGATGCATATTTCAGGTTGTTGTTGTTATTGCTGTTGATTGCCTTTGAGCCGAGCAAGACTTATAGCGACTCTGTGAACAAAAGACCTAATGTCTTTCTATAACTATCATTGTTTCTCCAAGTTCATAGAGTTTTCATAGGCATGTGGCTTAGGAAGTGGATGCCACTCCTGCTTCCAAACCTGTTTTACAACTGGGAGCTCCACCACACACTGTCCAAATTGGGAAACCATTATGGCATTAAAACCATATGGCATTATGGCATTTCATACCCCAGTGGCACAAGGTTCAGCATCACAGCAAACCCAGATTACCTCAGTACAGCTAACTGACAAAAGAGTGACGTGCAAAGTAGAAGAATGTTCCTCCAAACTATAACAACACCAGTCTCACTGAGCAGTGGTTAAATTTCGTCAGGTCGAATACAACTCATAGCGACCCCATGAACGAAAGACCTAAACTCTGTTCTATAATTAACATCATTTTTTTATGTTGATGGAGTTTATAAAGTTTCTGGGTAAAAGATAGTAAAGCTGTAAAACATGAGAACAGACATTTTAAATTAATAATATAAACTGCAGGGGGCTGCGTATTATAATAATTTTTTTTTAAAAAATCTCTGTACGTGTGAGAAAGAGAAAGAATACATACAACGATGCATAGGTATGAACGTACATATGTTCTTTTATACACATTAATTTGTTAATATATATTAATATAAATTCTGAAAGAAATATGCTACTTCACTAAAAAAATGAGAATTCACTAAAAATGGCAATTATTAGCAACTATGTATGTTTACTGTCACTATTCTATAAATAAGCAGTCATAATTTTTTCTACTGTGCAGCTTTTTTTAATACCCAGCTTTTTTCCATTGATAGTTTGCTACTTCCATCTCTTTCTGGCACACATTGTTCTCTCTCTCTCTGTATTTCTTTCTAGTGTTTTACATCTTTAATACAGACCTAAAAACAATTATGGGGGGAAAGTCACACCAAACTATATAGAATTATTACCTCCTTAATAAAAAAATTATGAAAAAGGAGGAAAATTTATATTTTTATGTGTGTATAAAATTTCATTTGTACAAGTCCATATTTTTCACTTTTTAATAAAAATTGGTCATTACCATATCAACAGATGACTATAGTAACGGCTCCAGTATTTCAACCCTCCTAGCCACATGCCTTTTAATATTCTCTCATTCTGACTTGTGTCAATATGGCTTGCTTTGGCTATGTAAATATCAGGATACAATATCAGCAAATGGGCAAGAAGCATTTGTACAATAAGACTTTCCATAAACCATGTCATAAGAACAAAGGGAAAGTGGAACACAGAAAAATTTCAGAAAGATAGTTACACTATGCACACAAATAAGACCCTGCTAGTTCCATATATATGAGGGGTCTGACTGAGACCAGAATAACCAGAGTCCACCCTAGATCAAACCACAGACTGGGGGGCTAAACAGAAACACACCCTTATTAAATTTATTTTTTAATTTTTGGAGTAATTAATTTCTCAACATTATGGCAGAAATAGATAACTCATCATAAAAAACTTTAGTCTCTAAACAATACCTTGACTTCCATGAGTTCTGCTGTATTTGGAGGAGTGCTAAGAGCTTTTTCAGCTATCCTCTCAAATTCATCACATAATCTGAAACACAGGAGGAAATATCAATCACATGTGTTTATAAAGAAAATTCATACAAGAAAATTTATTTCCAAATATAAACCTATAATATGTATATTATTGCACAAAAAATAAAGAAAAATTTTACTTTTGGTTTTGTATGCTCCATTTTGTTTTATATGTTCCAATGCACCAAAAAAATAAAAGTAACTATTGCATATCAGTGAGGCAACTCTGACTGACAGTGACCTTGGAAACCTGGAAAACTGCTGCACTGGGTCCCCTTGACCTCGCCTGTAATCTTCCGAGAGTCAGTCACCAGGTCTCTTCTTCTCCCTCACAGCCACTGGTGGTTCAATACCTCAGTTCTTTTTTTTTCCAGTTAGCAGCCAAGGGCTTAACCTGTACACCACTAGAACTGTTCAACTCAAGATTATAATTTACCAGTGTACCTTCTCCAATGAATTAAAAGGGGACCTGGTAGCTTAGAGGTAAGCGATTGTACTCCAAAGGCACGTGAACCGGATGCACCAGCTGCTCCACAGGGAACAGATGGGCAGTCTCCTCCTCTGTGATTTATTGCCTCTGAAAGCCCGCTGGATAGTTAGCTATGAGTACGTTCTGACTGGATGGCACATCACCATCAACACACAATGAATTAAACACAAGATATGTTCATTTATTTATTTATTCCTTCAGTAGGCTTTAAATGATTATCTATTATAGTTCAGGTAAAATACTACATGAAATAGATAGTGAAGGGCACAGTTTAATGGTAATTGCTTTTATAAAACATTATGAATGATAATTGTATGAAACAAAGTGTGATTAAAGGATAATGCATAAGAACTCTGTATACAAACTGTGGTAATTTTTTTTTAAAAAAAGACATTAAACGTACACCCATGTTTATCACAGCTTTGTTTATAGCAAGGAGTTGGAAACAACCTAAGTGCCCATCAACAAACAAATGGATAGAGAAGCTCTAGTATTTTCACACAATGGAATCCTATACTGCTTTGAAAAACAAGGAACTCATGCAATATTATTCCAAATAGGTGACCCTGGAGGACATTATGCTGAGTGAAGTATCCCAGTCACAAAAGGACAAATACTGCATGGTGCCACTCTTGTAAAACAGGACTGACATCGGGGTTGGGGGGAGACTGAGAAAGATGGGTTCAGTAATGTATATTGCATTGAAACAGATAAGGGAGAAAATGGTTTAAAAGGGATATGTCATTAGGTATTTTTTGTCATGTCCAGAGCAAAGGCTTCATAGGTAGAGCGGACCTGGGTGGAGTGATTGTAGAACAATGAAAGAATTTTTCTTTTACTTTTCCAAGAGGTTAGTGTACTAGTGGGGAGGGTTGGGAAGGAAGAAAAGTGCAACAGTGAATGAATGGAAATCCAAAGTCTCTGTAAATTTTCATTGAAATTAATAATAAATTTAAAAAAGAAAAAGAAAAAAAACATTTAAAAAAATGGCTAAGCTGTAATATGGGACCTAAAGTAATCACAATCCCAAGTGAAAGACAGGAACACAATCACTTCTAACGAAGAGCTTTAAAGATCGTAACAGACATTTAGCAGAGAGAGCACAAAGAAGGTAACATACTCAGAAACTTCTGGAAATGTACAAATATTTCTATCAACTTGGGCTATGGCCAGTAAAACTAATGAAATAAAAGATGAGGCCCAAAAAAAAGTAGCGAAAACTTAAAAAATTCAGGGGAAAAAGGCATAGACGTCTCTAAGAAAATTGGTTAACAGGGTGATGCTATTGTATTACACTGCGTGGAGACAGAAGATTTTAAACATGTATTGTATCTTCAAAAGCAGAATCACAGAGGGTTTTAGAATAAGGGCTTTGGAGATGATGCCTGGTGAAGGTAGGTCTAGAGGAATGGGATGTCATGGTTAAGGTGAGAGAAGCACACTCTGAAAGATGTGTCAGACTCCTAAACTGAAAGGAAAAAAGACACAAGAAGCTGAAATCAATGATATCTATGGTTCTTGACCTCTTCTGATATGATCTCTGTATAGTCAGTAAGTTTGGCAAGAAATATCATTAGGAGAAAAGGGTGTAGGGGTGGCAAGTAGAACCAGATGAGCTCAGAGGGTAGTGAAGAGACAGGGAAAGTACTTTACTGGTTACTGATTCATAAACTTAAAAATCTGAAGTTCTGAAGTTAGAGGACATTCATCTGACTTGTAAAAAGAAACACAAACTCATACTATATATTAAATCAGACAACTGACCAAAGTATCTTTCTGGTGGAAAGAATAAAGTGAGTAAACACAAAACAATGCTTTAATGAACAATAAATGAAATGTATTTTTTCTTTTGAATCATTTATGATATTACTGTCACCCTTTAAGTGAGTAATTATGTTTTGATCTCATTTAAATACCATTTTAATTAGACCAAATATCTACTAAAACAAAAATACTATAGCTAAATACCTTATGTTTGCTTCCTGATGATCTTTGAACATCTTAGTTATAAGTTTTCCACAGATAATATCTGCTCGTTTTACCAAAGCTCTGATCAATTCATCACAGTGCAATTCAAAGGTTCCTAAGCGAACAGTCTGTATAATAAGCATTAAAACATCATTTTTTAACACATAGAAAGAAATAAAAGATGTCCAGTTTTGTCTTCCATGATACTGATTTTCTTGAGGAGGAGTATGATCTAAAAACATACTTTGGTTTAATAAACAGAATATGGGGAGGGTTTTCTGAATATGAATTTATCTTTTATAACTGTGTCTTCTGAGAAAGACCCCTTACTGAGTCTGTTCTGTGAGAAGCAAACTCTAATTTAGGACAATAATGGTTGTAAATACTCTACAGACTTTAGATATTTCTTGGGGGAAAAAACCAAACCATTGTGAGTTTCAAAAGTTGTATTTCCTCTGTATGAAGATGCAGTATACGCTAATGACAAAAAGTTTCTAAAGTGTAAAAGAGGACAAAATATTTTCTATTACCAATATCCCATCCTGATAGTCCCAAAGCAGAAGTAGCCACATTTTTATATCATTCCTACACTGTTAAGTGAATTTATAAACACTGAGGGAGCTCTAGTGTGGTACTTCGTAGAGGAATTGTGCTAATCCAGAGCCCGCGTCTCTTCAGCAGTTCAAATCCACCAGTGACTCCAAGGGACAAAGAGGGCCAATCTCCTTCTGTACAATTTACCATTTCTGCAAACCCACCAGAGGATCTGCTATGAGGCAGAGCTGAATCAGTAGCAGTGACTCTTTATTATAAACGCTAAGAAAAAAGAATTACATTTGTTGAAAACTCCAGAGGAATGACTTTTTTTATATATATTTTCAAACACTGATGAGAAAAAGATATATTTTGTAAAATATTTTCTGGCAAAATAAATAAAGTCCTTAAACGAGAAGCAGCATGTTTGTTTTGTCTACCTCATTATTCCCAAGGTTTATGAGAATACAGTAAAGTGGTTTTATAAACCAGAAAACCCCGTCCTTGGCCTCCCGGGTTTTTGCTGACCTTCCATTATGGTCTATCAGTTGTCTCACGGTGGTGGTTTGCATGCTGCTGTGATGCTAGAAGTAAAGCCACTGGTGTTTCAAATACAAGCAGAGCCACCAATGGTGGACAGGCTTCAGAAAGTTTCCTAAGACATACATGGAACCTACTTCTGAAAACTGTTGCCAAGTGCATTCAAGTTGACTCTGACAGCAGCCCTATGTGAAACAGAACAAAGCCTTGGCCCATCCTGAGACTTCCTCACAATCTTCTTAAAAGCTTAAGCCCATTGCTGCAGTCACTGTCAAGTCATGATGTTCAAAGTTCCATTTCAGTTTGACAACTTCCAATTTTCTCCCATACATTTTACATTTCAGTTATTAATGGATATTTATGGAGCTCTGTTGGCCTAGTGGTAAAGGAGGTGTGCTGCCAATTCAAAAGTTGTTGTTGTTGTTGTTATGTGCATCAAGTTGCTTGTGACTCATAGCAACGCTATGTACAACAGCCCTAAACCCTGCTTTATCCTGTCTCCAACACACTCATCCCGATTACCCCAGTCACTGAATCAATCCATTTCATAGAGGGTCTTCCCCTCCTGCGCTATCTCTCCACCCTCCCAAGCATGATGTCCCTCTCCAAGGACCTGTCCCTCCTTACAACATGTCCAAAGTATGTCAGACGAAGCCCCAGAATCCTTGCCTCCAAGGAGCCGCCTGGTTTAACCCTCTCCGGGATGAATCTGTTTGTTTTCTTAGCAGTCCATGGTACATTCAATACTCTTCTCCAGCACCACAGCTCAAAGGTGTCAATTCTCCTTTCTCCTTCTATCCTCCCTAGTCATTGTCCAATTCTCTGATGCATAATAAGTGATTGCAAAGACCATGGCCTGTATCAGATGCACCTTAGTCTCCAGAGTGACAGCACTGTTCTTCAGTACTTTGGAGAGGGTCCTAACAGCAGACTTTCCCATCGCAATACATTTTTTAATTTCCTGGCTGCTGGTGCCAAGAGTGTTGACTGTGGAGCCGAGCTGACTAAAGTTGTTAACAATCTCAATCTCTTCATCCATTCTGATACTGCCAATTGGCCCAGTGATGAGAATCTTCATCTTCTTGACATTGAGTCTCAATCCATATTGAAGGCTGCAGTCCTTGACTCTCTGCAGCAAGTTCATCAGGTCCTCCTCAGTTTCAGCAAGTAGGGTTGTGTCATCTGCATAACGCAGATTGTTGATAGATCTAACACCAATCCTGACACCACACTTCTCCTCATAGAGCCCAGCCTCCCGGATAATCTGTTCTTCATACAGGTTGAAAAGGTATGGAGATAGGACACAATTCAAAAGTACATGGTTCAAATCTACCAGCTGCTCCATGGGTGAAAGATGGGCAATTTCTTCCTGTGAAATTTATTGTCTCTAAAAATCTGGTTTTATACAATATTCATTCCTATGGGACTTTAGTTCACTCAATATAGTGCTCTCCAGTGTCTCCCACGTTAGGTAATAATTTACAAAGTTATTGCTCCTGCGTGCATTGTAGAATAAGGATCCAGGAGGGGTGGGAGAGGCTGAAAGAAGAAGGGTGTGGATGTGCTGGGGGAAGGAGGGATTGTACAATTTTATGGGGGAAACTGAAAGAATTTGTTCAAATTTGTATTTGAATTTTGTAAATAAACTAGTAGAGAAAAAAGAAAATCTGCTGGAAAGGTTTTCCATTCTGATTTAACAGCATGTAATGACAACAATGGATGTTTGCAGTTTTTCTATTCAATTTGAGTCTTACCACTTTCACAAATTAAAGTCCTTCACTGGGTGAAGCTTTACTCTATCTGCATCATTAATCAGACTCTACTTCAAGGGAGTAGTTCTTCCCCAGTTGCATCTTGAGTGCCTTCCAACCTGAGGGGCTCATCTTCTGACACTGTTATCAGACAGTGTTCCACTCTCATTCATCTGGTGTTTGGCCATTATTTCAGAAGTAGATAAGATGGTCAGTCCTCTTCTTAGTATGTCTTATTCTGAAGTCACCACTGAGACCTTGTCCACCATGGACGACTCTGCTGGTATTTGAAATGGTGGTGGCATAGTCACCAACATCAAAGCAACACACAGGGCACCAGAATACAGCAAACTTACAAATGAGTGGCGGTTCTGAAAGTCAGTCAGTGACAACTTTATGGTTCACAACAGTGTCTGACTCATTTGCTTTGCTCTGGACACATCATCAGAAGGGCACTATCATCGCAGGAAAACAGCAGGTGTGATGATGTGGAGGTGCAGCAGGATGAGGATGAAGGGCCTAGAGTCAACGGACTGGTGCAGTAGCCACAAAGACGAGTGAAAGTGAAGATGAGGAAGATGCAGGACCAAGTATATGGACTCACCGTAAGTCAAGGTCAACTTGGTAAGAGCTGTTGAGCTCTCTCACAATGACTGATGCATATCAATCTGTGGACAGTAATGGTCTAACTTTATCATTGCATGTTTTAAAAATAATAAAATATAAATAAAATACAAATAATAAAAGTAGCAAAAGATCATTAGGAACAGACAATAGTCAGTGGTACCTGGGGCCATTACCTTTCTAGAGGTGTACTGAATTTCTTCCATTAGTTGTTGGTATTTGCGAATTTCAGCTATAATTTTCTCATAACTATGATTTTCTGCAAGAAAATTATCCACATCTTCTTCAGCTTTTCTGGTAACCAAAAATCCGTATTTGTCGTAGAGTTTGAGGTGTTCAATGGGCGCCACACTCTCTTTCTCAATAACTTCCTTAATCTTTTCTTTGTGAGCCTCTATTATTTCACTCAGAATTATTGGCTTCAAGGTCATTCGTTTGGACTTACTTTCCTACAGAGGGAGATGGGGGAAGCCAGTAGTGATTTCAAATACCTTGTATGTAATTCAAGCATATCGCTAGGTTTTGTGAAAAGTAGCAATTCTTCCATATTGTCTTTTTAAAAATTCACATACTCTGGTTTTTCAAATCTCAAATCTATAGCAAGATATTTTTTTATGATTCACTACTGTAATATTTTCTCTTTTCTCTTTTTTTAATTTAAAGTAAACATTTTTATATAGCAAGATAGTTTTGATAAATAACAGATCACGCAGAGTCTAATTACAACAGAATTAAATCAACAATTGGTAGGAATATACCCATATGGTTTATTTTCTTGAACCATGTTACTCTTTTGTTTGGCTGGGGTTTTTTAGTTATTTTTTTTTCATTCACATTGTTTTTCTTACAATCATTCCCCTACATTGTTCTATGACCACTATTACTCCATTTTCCCCCCCAGATCGCCAATGGATCCTTCCTAATTCCTACACCTCTGGCCCATACCAATCCAACTTTGTGATCTCACAATTTCACACTCTCCCCACTCTCAGCCCTCCTGCCTCCTCTCCTTCCCTCTTTGAATATCCATATAAATCTTACTAGTTATTCTTCTGTTTTTACAATAATGGTCTTATGCAATATTTATCCTTTTGAGCCTGAGTTAGTTCACTCAGCATAATGCTCTCTAGCCTTTCCCAAGTTATATAGTTTTATATAGTTTTCTAAATCATTGCTCCTGAGTACTACATAGTATTACATAATGTGGATGTATCACAATTTTTCAATCCATCTGTTTGTTGATGGACATTTGGATTGTTTCCATGTTCTTGTAATTGTGAGTAAGCTACTATGAACACTGGTGTACAAATCTCCATTTGTGTTCAGTTCTGTTTTCATTGGGGTATATTCCCAGCAGTGGAATAGCTGGGTCACATGAGATCTCCATGTTCAGCTTTTTGAGGAAACACCTAACTGACTTTCAGAATGGCTACACCATTTTAAAATCCCATCAACAGTGTATGAGAGTTCCAATCTCTCCACATCCTCTCCAACCTTTATTGTTTGCTGTCCTGTTAAACTTTGCCACTACCACTGAGGTGAGATAATACATAAATGTTACTCTGATTTGCATCTCTCTTATTGCCAGTGATTTTGAGCAATTCTTCATACATCTGTTGGCCATCTGAATGTCTTCAACTGTGAAAAAGTCTTTCCAAGCCTTTTGCCCATTTTGTAAACTGGGTTATTGGACTTTTTTTCTTGTAGAGGCCCTGTAAGATTCTTTAGACTTTCATTGTGAGACCTTTGCCCAAGAAAGCATTGCCAAATGTTTTCACCAGTCTGTAGGTTTTCTTTTCACCCTATTGGAAACGAACCATGTTACTCTTAAACAACTTAACTCACTGCCATCGCGCTGGAACGGACTCCTAGCTGGCCCTCCAGTGAGTTTTCAGAGGCCCTAAGTGCATGAAAGGAGACTGCTCATCTTTCCCATACAGAGTGGCTGGTGGGTTTGAACCACCTGCTTTTGGATTGGTAGCCCAACTCCCTGCCAATAGTCCACCAGAGCTTTTTTAAAGGTTGTTTTTCTTTTAAGTTTCTCATCATTTTTTAAGGTTTCTGATAATTTTCTTTCTCTTCAAGCCTACATTGTTCTGGGTATTCAGTTTGTTTATCCTACAGATAAAAGAACAGTTGCTTGAAAGTATAAAAGTGGTGTTTTTTTTTCAAATGTGAAAACACAAAGCCCACATTTTGTGGTGTTTATAAGATAGTGGTCTATCTTACACATAATTAAAAACAAAGAAGCACAATGTCAAATCGCCACACTTTTTTATTACTGTACCTTTTCCCCTTGAAGATTAATCTGTCTGTTACTGTTAGGTACTGTCGAGTGGAGTATGACTATAAAAGCCTACCTGAACCCTGTCCTATCCTGTGCCGTCCACACTATCTCCGACAATCTATCTAGAACTTCTGTGAACTGGAGTGTACTAAAATTGCTAGCTGCAAATGTGCTTCCTGCTATCACTGAGAGGCAGCCTCAGTGGCAACGGGGTAAAGGACTCGGCAACTAACCTCAACGGGTGGAGACTCGACTGTACTAGCTTCATGGTGGGAGAAAAGGGTGGCCAAGTGCCTTCAAAATGTTTTGGAAATTACAGCTCGGAAAGCCAACAGAGCAGCTCTAAGTTCTCCTCGGCCTTAGAGAATCACCAAGAGTAGAAATGCATTCAGGGACAGAGCTTCATTTTTTGTTTCCTCACCATGGGAATAACGATGGACAAGAATAGACCACAGAACAAGATTATGTAAGCACATAAGTCACCGTAGCTGGCTTCCTTTCCTATTCTAAGAGAGGAAACACATGAGTAGTACAATCAATGCATTTGGTTGCTACCAAATCTGTTAAGCAAAATGTTTAAAGTTCAGATTCACCTAGAGAAACCTTTAATGAAAGGTCAGGTGGCTTACTTCCAGAAAGACCAATCATGGAAACCCTCCAGAGCACAGTTCTATTCTGGTAACACTGGTGGTTAACAAAAGTCAGAACTAAACAGCAACTGGGGAAAATATACGCATAAGGTATATTGTTTTGAACTATGTTACTCTTAATGATCTCCCTGCTACCCAGAAGAAAAGATGTCTTTTTAATTATGACAAATACAGATCATGTCTTTAACGGATATTTTTCAGCACTCAGTTTAATAAGATCAAAGAAATCCTTAGAAAACCGGATCGGTTCTATTTCATATTTTGCTAATTAAAATAAAAACAATACAGTGACAAAGAATGCCCAAATATTGTAATAAAAAAAAAAACCCCAAACAAACAACCCACACATTAAAATAAACACACTCTCAGTTTCAACTTTAAAAAACAAACCAAAACTGGATCCGGTCAGTTATCTAGCTTTGATTGGACCACTATGCCCCTCTAGTGTTCACGTGAGAAAATCAGATTGCTTAGAGTTGAGCTAATTCTCTCTCACAACAGGAGTTGACTTCCCACCACCACATTCACAAAAAAGGAAGCTCTAGTGGCCTAGTAATAAGGAGGTGTACTGCCAACCCAAAGAAAGAAGGGCAGTCTCTTCCCATGAGTGGTCATACCTCTGAAAACTCACTGGAGGGTCAGCTGTGAGTCAGTTCTGCTACATAGTTAACATCAACCACTAATCTTTTTTATTAATGATTTTTAAGGCAACATATATATTTCTTTTACAGCATAGTCTTTCCATTTAATTTTCCCCCCATTCATTCATTCATTGTTGCACATTTTCCTCCCTGCCCAGCCCTCCCCCCAGTTCATTTTTCTCTTTGAAGAAAAAAAAATTCTTTCAACCACTAATCTTATCTGGTGGCCTCTTGGGTATGAAATTGGACTGTCAACCCAAAAGCAAGTGGTTCAAATCCATCATCTACTCTGCAGGAGAAAGATGGGAAATCTCCTCCCATGTGATTTACAATCTCAGAAAAGCCCCTGGAAGGTTATCTATGAGTTGGTTCCAACTTGATTGTACATATCAATATGACACTACAATCTCTTCCATTCCTCCAACTTAGGAGTAGAGGGAGTACAAATTAGAGTAGATGTGAAGGAGGTGCTTCATATCTCCTTTTCTGAAAAAGAAATTAAGCATAAAGCAATCTATATTGTGTATTGGCAGTAATGTGGAGTTATTGGATCTCAACTGAAGCTCATTAATACTCATTACAGATGTTTTTAAAATTTGTTCATCTTCTGTCTGATTTGTCAAGTCTACAGATGTGTCTTTATAAGCTGAATTGGATACCTGAAAATCAGAATTCTATTATAAAGTATAATTTTTATGTGAATGCTAATCAAACCTTCTCACAATTTAGGAGAAATGCTAATTCCTCTGAGACATGTATCATTTAATCCTTCTGATGTTCTAAAACACATCAAATTAGATCATGAGAAGGTTATACGCTGGACTCTCCACACTTTAGCCTCTTGCAGATTTGCCTTCTATTAAAAAAGGTGCATTTAAATTTCATTTTCTATCAAAGATTGCTAAGAAACAGCTATATGAATTACACTTTTGCAATTTCTCTCAAATATAACTGAGACAAAGTTCAATTATTGTAATCAGAGTATTTAATCGCAGCACTTGTTTCCAAACCTCCCTGATGGCCACGATCATCTAGGGGTATTTTTTCCAGCCCTAATTTCTGAGTACCTAACTTCTGGCAGTAAAACAATAATCTCTATGGGAGAAGTGTACCTGCAGGGGAAAGGTAAGTGAGAGTGGTGGTGGCCAGGATCCCTGGAATCTGTCATTTGCATGTTTCCTCAGGACATCCTGATAGGGAGGGGTTTGAAATTCCCTCTTACATGGATCCCTATCTCTCAAATTTCACACCAAAAAGATAGTTTTCTTCCAAAGCATAGTATAAATTAACCTTTCTCATTTCATCAAGTACAACTTGAAGCACTGTGGTGGTGCTGCAGTTAGGACATTCAAGTGCTAACCAAAAGGTTTGCAATTCAAACTCATCAGCAACTCTGCAGGAAAAGATGAGGCCATTTGTTTCCATAAAGATTTACAGCTTTGGCAATTTAGAGTTTTGGCAATTTATGGCTTTGGCAAATCCTAGGAGAAAAAGTGCAATCCTAAGGGATGCTAGTCACAAAGTGTTTCAAAATAGACACTGTTATGAACAGAATATGCATAACCTGTTGAAGAAATATTCAAAATGTTTAAAAACATTTAAACAAGAAACATGAACATAAAAAATTCTTGTCTTGAAGAAATAAGTGGTTGTGGTGGTGGTGGTGGTGGTGATTGCTGTCAAGTCACGCACAGCTCACAGTGACTCCATGAACAAAAAAGACCTGAGGCCTTTCTGTAAGTATTGTTTCTCCAAGCTCATAGAGTTCCCAGAGGCATGTTGTTTGGGAAGTGGATGCCATGCCTGCTTCCTAACCTGTCTTAAACTGGGAGTTCCACCAAACACTGTCCACCATGCGCAGCCATTATGGCATTTGAGACCCCAATGGTACAAGTTTTAGCATCACAGCAAGCCCAGATTACCTCAGCACAGAAAATTGACAGAAGAGTACTGTACAAATTCGAAGAATATTCCTCCAAAGTAGAGTAGCAAAGGATGAAAAGATAATCCCTCAGACCCAACTTATTAAATATAAGGGCCCTCCAGGAGGCTTTTTGACTCTAAACAAGAGTTTGTTTAGTAATAATTAAAAAAAAAGAGAGAGAGGAAATATAAACCCATTCCACAATGACCCTCAACCAAAACAAGAGAACTCATCCTACAGAGTCCAGTCGCTCCACCCAGTTTCCAAAATGGAGACAAGGGCTTGGCCTTAAACGCAAGTATCCTCCTGGAGGTCTTGTTGACTCTAAGCAGGAGGGTTGAACAATGAAACAATCCACACAGATCCTCAACCAACAAGAGCACCATCATACAAAGTCCAGCCAGTGGAAGTCCAAAATGTACGAAGGCAGGCAAGGGCTTGGCAATATGTATTGCTGTTGTTGTTAAGTGTCATCTAGTACCGACCCCATAAACAAAAGACTTTAAACTTGTTCTATAACTTGTCCTTTCTCTAAGTTCACAGAGTTTCCACAAACATGCTCAGGAAGGGGATGCCACTCCTGCTTCCAAGCCTGTCTTAATCTGTTAGCTAACCAGATATTGTCAACCATCTGTAACCATTATAGGATTTGACAAACCAATGGCACAACCTTCAGTATCACAGAAATCCAAAGGTACCTCAATACAGAGAAATGACAGAAAAGTGCCTTATCACTTAGGAGTGTTCATTTCAAAAGCAATGACAACCAGACCTAGGGCCCAAATGATTTTTAAAAGGACCCAGGCCCACTCATCAGGTCTCATTGGTGCCCAGCAAGAGGCTTCTGGCCAGTTAAAGACGACCCAGAACCTTGCCACACCAACACAGAAAGGAAATAAGTGGTACTAAAGGGTTTTGAGGTCATCTAAGAATATTTATGGGTGATTATTTGCTGCCTCTTCCCCTTATTTCTCACATTTCTCTTTCAGTTGATTACTATATTGTCTGATGGTATTGAGCCTGGCCCGACTTTTATGGACTTTCTGAATTCTGTTTATCTGGGTCTTCTTGGGTATTACAGTATTTCCCATTTTCCTGTTGATACTCTTCGCTGTGAGCTGATTAATTTTTATGTATGCTTTGGCTCTTAAATACAAATTATGTAATCTTGGAAAAAAGAAAAGATTTACAGCTCTGGGAACCAAAAGAGGCAGTACAACTGTGCCCTCACAAACTCCCTGCCAGCTCATAGCTCTTCCTCAGGGTCTCAGAGGCTGTAAATTTCAAGAGGAGATTTCCTATCTTTCTCCACAGAGCAGCTGGTGGACTCAAGTCAGGGAAAGGGTGTAGATTTTGGGTTAGCAGCACAATTTGTTCCAGACTACACCAGCAGAGCTCCCCTGTCCTACAGGGTCATTATGAGTCAGAATCCACTTGACAGCTGTGGGTTGGCTGATTGGTTTGTTGTGTACCACCTGCCATATTTTCCTTTATTTCTGTAAAAAAAACCAAAATAATTTATATTATATAATCACAAAATCACAGCAGCTGGGATAAGTAGAACACCTTTCTCCAAGGTGTTCTCTTATCCAGGGCTTCAAGTTCTTCTCTCTATATATTAATCACTTGAGGATCATGTTAAAATTCAGATTCTGATTCAGTGTTACCTGGAGTGGAAAGGCAACATCTCAACAAGAGGTTCAATTGGAACACACTGTTTGAAGCCCTGTTTTAACTCACTATTAGTTTACTATGTTCTGTAAACAACCTCAGAGACTGAGTAGAACAGAATAGAATATAATAAATGAGTTGGAAGTAAACATAAGTTTCTTGACTTCCAGTTATAAAAATCTGAGCAACTGACATTCTGAAAAAAGCTGATGTGATAGAAATATATGCAATCTGTTCAAAATGAGTGACATGAAGTTTCACCATCCTTGCTCTAAGGAACACTTGCTTGCACTTCATCTAAGAGAGCCTTATTTGTTCTTCTGAAGGCCATGGGATATTCCATACTCTTCTGCAACATCGCAATTCAAAGGATTCTTCTTCTGTCACCATTACTCATTGTCCAACTTTTACGCAATAGAAAGTAATTGAAAATATCTTGGCTTGGGTCAGGCACATCTTGATCTTTAAGCTAATATCATTGCACTTTAATACTATGGAAAGGTCTTTCACAGTAGATCTTCCCAGTGTGATACATCTTTTGATTTCTTGAGAGCTGTTAACATGAATGTTGACCATGGATGCAAGTAAAATGAAATCACTGGCTTCAATCATTTTCTCTATCATGATGTTGTCTATTGGCCCAGTGATGAGTATTTTTTTTTCTTCACAGTGAAATGTAATCTATATTGAAGGCAGTACTCTTTGCTTGCTTCTCTACTACCAATGCTGAAGACAGTAGTCCTTGACCTTCTGCAGCAAGTATTTCAAGTCTTCTTCACTTTTGACAAGCAAAGTTGTATCATCTGCTTCCAAGTTGTTGATAAGTCATCTTCTTGTCCTGATGCCACTTTCTTCTTCATATAGTTCAGATTCTCAAATGATTTGCTCAGGGTACAGACTAAATAGTTATGGAGAGAGAAAACGGCCCTGACACACAACCCTGACACACACCCTTCCTGATTTTAAACCATGCAGTGTTCCCCTGTTGTATTTGCACAACAGCTCCTTGTTCTAGATATAGGTTTCTCATGAGTATAATTATGTTGTCTAGGATTCCCAATATTCTAACTGTTAGCCGTAATTTGTTATGATCTACAGTCAAATGGCTTTGCACTGACAATAAAATAAGAATAGACATCTGTCTGATATCTTCTGCTTTCAGCCAAGATCCATCTGACAACAGGAGTGATATCCCTTGTGCCATGGCCTCTTCTCAATATCACACAAATTTCAGGCACTTCTCTTTTTGATGATGTTGTTGTTGTTATGTGCCGTCATATGTAGCAACACATGTAGCGACCCCTATGTACAACAGCCCTAAACTCTGCTCTGTCCTCTGCCAGTCACACTGTCTCCGATACACCCATCCTGATTACCCCAGTCACTTAATCAATGCACCTCATAGAGGGCCTTCCCTTTCTGTTGGGTCACCCTTCATTGAAATGGGAATAAATATAGATCTCTTCCAGTCAGTTGTCCAAGTGGTTGTTCTCCAGATTTCTTGGCACAACTTGGTGAGCACATCCAGGGCAGCATCTACTAGCTGAAATATGTCAATTGGTATACCATATATTCCTGGGGCCTTATTTTTATGTAAATTTTAAAATAATCTTGAGCAAGACTGTACCTGCATGTGACAGTCACCGATATTGTTTGATAATTTCCATATTCTGCTGGATCAAACTTTTTTGGAATGGGAACAAATAGCGATCTATTCCAGTTAGTTGGCCAGGTAGCTGACTTCAAAATTTCTGGCATAAGTTAGTTAGCACATGCAGGGTTGCATCTGTTTGTTGAAACAGTCTGTTATTCCATCAATTCCTGGATCCTTATATTTTGAAGATGCTTTAACTATAGTATGAACTTCTTCCTTCATTATCCCTGGTTATTGAGCATATGCTCATTTTTTAAATATTTCAGTGTTAACCAATTCTTTTTTGGTACAGTGACTGTATCCTTCCATCTTCTCTTGATGTGAAAATTTTGCCCATAAAATTCTTTCCAACTGCAACTCAAGGCTTAAATTCGGCTTTTCTGTTCTTCCAGCTTGAGAAATACTGAGAAATATTGACCTTTTGATTTTCTAACTGCAGCTCTTTACTCACTATATTCCTTTGCTTTAATGCTGTCTTCTCAAGCTGTCCTTTGAAATCTTTGGTTTATCTATTTTACTTCAGAATTTATTTTTCCTTCTGACCTTACTACCTACATTCTAGTAAAATTTTCAGAGTATTTTCTGATATCTATTTTGGTCTTTTTCCCTCCATACATTCGCGTGCTCTAAAAGGTCTAATGGCTAGGAAGTCTTGCTGACACCCCAAAAGTGGGAAGTTTGAACCCACCAGCTGCTTCATGGGAGAAAGAGGGTCTATCTCCTCCCATTCAGTTTACAGCCTCTGAAAATCTGCTGGAAGGTCCGCTATGAATCAGCTCTGGCTGCATGGCAATGAGTCTTTAATTACTTTAACAATGTGACAGTTCAGGATCAAAATCAGTATCTTCCATTAAATTGATTCCAACTCATTAACAACCCTCCAGGGGGTGTCCAAAGCTGGAAATCTTTACAAGAGGAGAACTGCTTCTCTTTCTTCTGAGGAGTAGACTCGAACTGCTTACCTTCTGGCTTGCAATGTAGCATGTAATGCATCAGCGATATAGTTAAGCTGAAATATTTGGCTAAAGAAGAAGAAAAGGAAAATGTACCTCTGAGTTGAATGTATGGCAACAGGACTCACCATTTTTGTAAAGAGAGCATTTGGAGGGTAATCAGCTGGACAGCATTTTTACAGGGCTGTAAAAGCACAAGGGGTCCACAGTACCACCGTATGACTGGTACAGAAAACATTCACTGAATGCTTCAAACCTGAACACAACCTTCATTCCTTCATCTACAAAAGTCACCAGCTAAATTTAATGGAACACTAAACTAGAGAAGTAGGTATGTTACAAAAAAAGTAAAAAAAAAAAATAGTACTATTTTTTGGTATTTTTTTAATGGAAACTTTCTTGAAAACAAATGGTAATGAGACCTTTACTCATATTCTGCAGAACATAGGATATAAATCTGTTCTTTCCAGAAGTTAGCAGTGAATGGTACCATGCAAAGTCAAGCAGTCAAAGTCACTTACCCACTTGGGATACAATTTTGTCTCAACTCTTGGCACAGAACTCACAGCCTTAATCATAACATCATAAACATTTAGAAGGATATCTCTATAGTCATTAAATTCAGGTTCAAACTTAATGGTGTTGTCATCAAGAATCAGTTTCATGATGAAGCCTGGATGTTCAAAGGCTCTAACAGAATCCTGGGAAACAAACAAACAAGAATTATGACAAAGGACAGCACCTGTTCCAATACTGACCCTTCCTCTCACGCCTTCCTTGGCTAAGCCAAGGGAGGTGCAGGCCCAGGGTTTTAGTCCCGCTTAGATGATTTGCTAGGCCACAATCCTGAAAAAGACTGCTTAGTATAATATGCAAAGAAGGTGTATATAACTGATGCAAGAATTTTTGATCAATCACTAGGACAATTAGATGAGTCTGGCATACAAAGGGGATGCACATTCTTGTCAACCTTTCAGCCTTAAAATAGCTAATCCCACAGAAGTTGTCAGGGCTATTACTACATCAGAAAGTAGGGGAGGGAGTATGTCCTTTGAACCCAGGTTTCCTGCACTGAACACCTCCTAGACTCAAAATACAGAAATTTTCACACTGAAAATGACACAAAACCATTCAAGACAATTTAAGCGGCAAGAACCTGCAGATCAGCATAAGGTAGGGACAAAGGGCTCATCAGCCTAGAATGCCTTCAGGCAATACACTTCTTTACAGAGCAATTACCACTGGGAACTAGCAGTTGGAAAAAAGAGCTTTAACACATGTCCAAAAAAGGAAGACGCTGAAGCAGGTGGTCTGCCAATGGGCACAGCTGAGGAGCTGGTAGCTGTTTCCGCTGGAAACGGCCCTAATTGAAGAACTTATCCTGTCTTCCAACTTGTATCCAGTTATTTCCAAGTTGACCCTGATCCAGAGTTGTAACCTCTTACTTCCCTAATAAAGTCCATAAATGTAAATATGGCCTATGAGGTCTGTCTTGCAACTGCAGTAGATTATCAAGCCCAACAGAGAAGACAGAGCTATGGAGAGGGTGGCTACTGTCAAAACTGGTAAAAAGGTCAGAGTGGAGGTATGAGAGGAATCAGCTTTAGGCAAACGCTGATGATCCTGCCCCTCAGTGAAGTCTGAGAATCTCTGACACCCCTCCCAGCCTGAAGGCTCTACAAAGGAGGAGGTGACTCCCTTGTTGCTATCTAGTAACTTCTTGTTGTTGTTGTATACTGTCGAGTCACAACCAACCCAGAGTTGACCCTCCAGCAGATTTTCAGAGACCGTTAATCGCACAGGAGGAGAGTGCCCATCCTTCTCCTAGATACAAACCACAAGCCTTTGGGACTGCACTGCAGTGCATCTTCTTGCCACTAGGCCACCAGAGCTCCCATCTAGTAACTACTGAACTTAAATATCAACTCTAAGGTCAAGGTTTCAGATAAAGGAAGATGTTCAGAGATCAACAGAACATTCCAATTCCAAGGTCCTGCTTATATGGTGACTAAGACTGTCTTTCAGAGAAGGAAAGCGGTCCTTCTCATAGCACTATTTCCCTGGGAAATGAGGAATTTTCACTTCTTTGCATTTTAAAAATACTCAAACTTAATGCCACTGAGGAAGTCCTAACTCACAGCTGTCCCTTCCCTGGGTTTCCAAGGTTGAAAAGAGGACAGGAAGAGACTGCCCACCTTTCTCTTGCAGAGCACTCCCTGGTGTATTCACACAGCCAGCGAAGCACACACAGCCTTAGGGACAGCAGAACAAGTCTCCAGGACTAGGCCACCAGAGCCCCTCCACCTGGACTCATTCTCACCTCAGATGATGGAAATCATACATTCTAAACATGTGAATTGGCACTAACTGAAGACACGTGAGGGTAACTGTCTAAAGAGTAACTTTCTGCTACCCCACTGGTAAGGATATTTTATTATTTTTCTCTCTAAATAAGTAAACATTAATGAATGCTCATCAGTGTAATGGAACCATACCTACCTGGGGTTGTGCAATTAAGTCTGTGAAATCTTGCATGGAGACCAAAGTGAGTTCCTGCAGCTGTAAAGTCATAAGCGTAGCAGCGCAGTTGAAAAAAGACTCCAATTTGGCACTGCTGTCACCAGTTGGCAACTGCTTTTTTTTACTACCTTGGTAATAAATATTCTGCACCTCTGGAAGCCACCTTAAAGAACAAAAGACTTTTCAAAGTTAATGCCTGCAGTGCATTATTCCTCTTATAAGCATTAATAGCAATTTCTGGACATGCAAAGATCTTCACTGGAAGTTATTGTTAAATGACATTACCCACTTTCAAAAATATAGCACTAAGCATTTTTTATTTCTCATAGAAAAGAGAATTTCAGTCACATTCAATAGGACATGATTTAAGAAGATGCTATGATGTTGTTGTTATGTGCCGTCGAGTTGCCTGTGACTCATAGTGACCATATATACAACAGCTCTGAAGCCTGTCCTATCCTATCCAGTCTCACTGACTCCGACACACTTACCCCCACTGAACTGGTTACTGTATCAGTCCATCTCAGGATGAGAAACACCTAATTCTAACTCCAAGAACTACGATATCTGCACTTTGTGTAGCCTATAAAACTTTACTAGATATTATAAAATTCTTCATCACAGGTTCCTAAATGTGTAAGAGTGGATATATCCAATAGTTTAAACTAAGGAGGGCTTACTTATTTAATGGTCTTCTGTCTGTTTCACAGGACTTGAAAGCAAGATGCAATTGATCATACTCTGGGGGGGAGGGGAGTCTTCTATTCCCTACTCATGTGAAAAACTAAAAGTGGATGATTTAAAACAAAGTTTCGGATATGTACCCACTGCCATAACAAAAGACAATTATTGCCAAGGAGTCAGAACTGACTCACAGCTGATCCTCCAGTGGGTTTCCAAAGCTGTAAATTGCATGGGAAGAGATTAGTAATTACCTCCCTCAGGGCCACTGTGGATTCGAACCACCAAATAGGCGAGGCCTTTAAGTTAGCAGCACAACTCCCTAGACACTATGCCACAAGAGTGTCCCCATAATAAAAGCAGAATAGTGAAATTTCCTATCTAGGTACAACACAACAGTAACAAAGATATTATCCATTTATGAGGTCACTGTCCAACACCAAAGAGTTAAGGGATATTAGTCTCTTTTATAAGAATCAATACCTGTTTTTAACAGAGGTAGGGCCAACATTCGGAAGTTGCCTGAATACCTCAAGAGAGAAGTATGTGTTGCTTGCCTACTATGCGCTAGAAAAGGTGTTAGGGAAGATATAGAAAGTTTCGGCATCTTCTCTCCTCGTCTACAAAAACAGAAGAAATGTGTCATGGCAGGGAGATCAATTTGAAGGTAGAGAATGGAGAAATGGTTTCTGAGTAACAGAGAAGGGTTTTATAGTAAAGGTGGCAATTTCACTAAAGAACAGATATGAAAATGAGGAGATCCAGAGGGAAAGAAATGCAAGTGAAAGTAGGATAGTAAAAACGAGTAAGTTGTCCAGTGCCATTCAGCAGCCTATTACTCACAAAGACCCTATGAACAACAACTTAAAGCTCTGCATCCTGCCTGTGCCCTTCTCCTGACCTCCACCACGCTCAAGTGCATTGTTACAGACACTCTCTCAATCCAACTTATTGAAGGTCTTTCTCTTTTTCACTGGACCACTACTTTTCAAAGCACTATGTCTTCTTCCAAGCACTAGTGGCTGCTGATAACACGTCCAAAGTGTGAGAGACCAAGTCTCACCACTCTTGCCTCAGGGGCACTGTGGTTACGCCTCCTCCAAGGCAGAGCTGTTTGTTCTTCTGGACGTTCACGGTATATTCAGTACTCTTTTTTTTTCTTTTTCTACAAGTTTATTTACAAAATCCAAATACATTGTTTTCAAGAACAAATTCTTTCCATTTCCCTCACCCCCCCCATCAAATTGTACAACCCCATGATTAATCTCCCTCCCCCGCACATCCTCATCCCTCTGCTTCCAACCTCTCCCACCCTCTTGGATCCTTATATTCATTCTACAATAATGGTTCTATACAATATTTATCCTTGTGGGACTGAGTTAGTTCACTCAGCATAATGCTCTCCAGACCCTCCAAAGTTAAGTAATAATTTACCAAATCATTGTTACTGTGTGCTTCATAGTATTTCATTGTGTGAAAGTACCATAATTTCTCTATCTATTTGTTTGTGGTTGGACATTTGGGCTGTTTCTATGTTTTTGTGATGGTCAATAATGCTGCTATGAACATTGGTGTACAAATCTCAGTTTGTACCTCAGTTCTCATTTTCTCGGGGTATACTCCAAGTACTGGAATAGCTGGGTTATATGGAATTTCTATATTCAACTTTTTGAGAAAGCGTCAAACTGCCTTGCAGAATGTCTGCACCATTTTACAATCCCACCAACAATGTATGAGTTCCTTTCTCGTCACATCCTCTCCAACATTTATTACTTGCTGCCCTGTTAAGCTTTGCCACTGTTCCTGGAGTGAGATGGTACCTCAACTAACACGTCACTCACTCTAATAAGCGTGCACACACACCCACACACCAGCTTCTATTAAATGAATGTCAGTTAATTTACTACACCTCCACCATGTGTGCAGAGTAGAACTCTGTGGAGTGTTCTCAAGGCTGTAACCACTGGGAAGGTCACCAGGCCTATCTTCTCAAGATCCTAAAGATATAGACCAAGATAATGTATTCTCTGTTCTCAGGATCTTTTTTTTTTCTATTTATACTTCTCTTTCTCTGGTGGCCTAGTGGCAAGAAGCTGTGCTACAATCCTTAAGGTACATGGTTCAAGGCCACCAACCCCTCAGAGGGAAAAGGATGGGCAATATCCTCCCATGCGATTAACTGGCTCTGAAAATCTACCAGAAGGTCAGCTATAGGGCAGTTCTGACTCTAAGATAAACAACAACTCTGTGAGTGAGTGTGTGTGTTTGACTAAGTAAACAGGTCATTGGATAGTATCAACTGTTTGCCATATTTTAAACAAAAGGCTACAATTTCTGTTTGCTTTCTACACAAATCTATTTTGTGTAGAGCACAGATCAAGACAGATACAATCTTAAACTCTTAAATAAAAATGGATTGTTAAAATCTACAGAAGCAGTCAAACTAAGTATCTCTTTAATCTCATTTTTAAATGTATGCAACCTTACACTGATTTGGAAGCCGGAGTGGCATCCACTTCCATAACAGCTTGCCTCTGGAAACCCTATGAACCTGGAGAAGGGACGAAAGTTATGCAAGTGTCCAGGTCTTTCGTTCATAGGGTCGCAATAATCACCTACACCTCGACGACACTTAACAACATCACTGACAGCATAGAGAGAGATTAGTTGGCCTAGTGCACAGAAAGTCAGGTTCCCAAGCCAAAGGTGGGTGACTATAATCCGTGGCCCCCTGGCCTGCCTTTAATTGTTTTTGGAAACATTCTTCTAAATCGTATGACCTTGCTATGTTCCCTTGCTGTACAGAGGTAACTCTTGATTGCTGTGAAGCTGAACACTGTGACATTGATGTGTCAAATGCAAAAATGGTTACCCATGGTGGACAGTGTTTGGTGGAACTCCCTGATTAAAACAAGCTTGGAAGCAGGAGTGGCATCCACTTCTGTAATAGCTTGCCTCGGGAAACCCTATGAACCTGAAGAAAGGACAAAAGTTATACAGCTGTCCAGGTCTTTTGTTCATAGGGTCACTACGAGTTGCCTATGACTCGACAGCACTTAACAACAACAATAGCAACAACAACATATGAACTCTGTGAACTTTGTAAGTAAACCAGTATAAAATAAGTGGGTTTTCTTTTAAAAAAAGAATAAAACATTGAACAACTATTGTCAATAAATGGCACCCAGACCTTCCAAAAAAAAAAACCCAAAAAACATTGAACAACTAAAAAGATTATGTCACCTCGGGACTCTTATGGGACAGTTGCACTCTGTCCTATAGGATTGCTAGGAATTGGAATCAACTCAATAGCGCATAGCACATACCAACAACAACACAGGCAATTTTCAGCATTAGTGATGACATAATGACTGAGTGCTCAGTTAGGAACTGTAAGACTGCTATTTTGAATCGACTTGCTGCTCTTCAGAAGAAAAGAGCCAGCAGTCTGATCCTGGGAATCACACTGCCTAGGAAACCCTATGTGGCAGATCTACGGAGTCAGTCCAACCCAGAATCAACTCAGTGGCACAGCACTACGACAACACGATGATTTGAACATTACGTTTTAAGGAGAACATCTCTGGCAGACTGCATGTGTTTCATGACAATGTTCTGAAAAGCCGGCAGCTCTAGTGCCTCTTGGCAATTGTGAAATTCTTCTTTATCAACTAATCGCAACTTTCTGCAATAGATAAAAAGAAACAGTAGTTGAAGAGTAAGACTTCTTTGGGATTTGCTATTTTTGGCTAATTTTTCCCTTCTAAAAAAAACATCCCTACGTTTCATCAATCAAAGACTGTTCTATAAAATCAGATTTTCAAAGAACATAGATACAGTAACTTTAAAAATAATATCTCATGTAACACAAGAGAAATATATCCAGAAACTCCACTTTGAAATAGAAGGTTCAATAGTTAGGAAGTGATTAATATGTTAGACTGTTCTTTGTTTTCAAACTGGAACACGTGAAAACTGGGGCAGAGGCAAGGCTCAACGCTGATGCAGCCCACGGTTCTCAAAACCAAAACTGCATTTTCTGTGAAAAGAAAGCAGTTCAATATGACCATTCTTAACTCTGCAGCATAGAGAGTCAAAGGTAGAGTTCCTATACTTAATCAAGATCCACTTTATGAAAGTATTTTTCATTTGTCTTGTTTCAGTTCTTTCGACAAACATAATGCTTCCTCCAGTCAGAACTCTGCATATGAAACATTCTCTGTGTACACACTACGGATCCTCGCTATATACCCACTTTATACATGTAATCATTTTCTCTGGCAGATTAATCAAAACGAAACACACTATTTCCTATTATTTACTTCAACTTAACTACATATTCCTTCCCAGCTAGAAGAGATGCAGTTTAATTTTCTTTCAAAGTAGATTTCTATGTAATCTGATAGTACTACACTTGAAAATCTCACATTCATTATTTACCTAAATTTTCACCTTAACATACTGGATAATAAACAAAACACACTCAAATCCATTCATTTATATTTTTTTACAACATGTATTTAGCGCATAATTATTAATAAAATAGGCACGAAGTAGGTACAAAAACTCTTTGGTATTGTGTTATTTTGGATATGAGACTAATCAACCCTCTGAAATGAACAGTATAATGTTTCACAAAAAATATTTCCAAAAAGTTGCCTCCTTGATGCTGTGTGGGTTGTGACTGCATTACAAATCCTATCTCTGACATCAAATGGGTTCTTCAAGTATAAATAAAGGCGCTCTGGTGGTGCAGTGATTAAGTGTTTGACCATTAAATGGAAAGCTGGTAGTCAGAACCCACCAGTGATTCTAAAGAAGGAAGATGGGGTAATCTATTTCCACAAAGACTGTACCCTAGGTAACCTCAAGGGGCACTTCTATTCTTGTCTACAGGATGACATGAGTTTAAAATGGCTCAACAGTAGTGACCTGGAGTAACTTGGTTTCTTTTTGGTACTGGTAAAAAACAAAAATGACATGAATTCACCTCCTTCTGTCTAGAAAGCATCCCTTTAGGATTTCTCTCTCTTTCCATGAATTTTCAAGTCATTCAGATGATTTCTCTTGTGTATCATCCCCTCCATCCACTGTCATTCATACAAATGTCCTAAACTTACAAGTTGACTGAGGTCGTGACAAATGAGTGTTATGTAATATAAGGGAGTCAACGCCAGGGACCACCCTTCTCACTGAGTTTGCCCTCAGTACTCTCACACTCAAGTGTTTCAGTGAGGGTGGCACAGGATAGGACAGGGCTGACCTGTTGTTCCTGGAGTCACTAAGGGCCATATTCGACCCGACGGCAGACAACAGCAACAAACTCTCATATTAAGCAAATCTGACAACAGCAACAACTTTAATATTAAGCAAACATGACATTAATTAAGCACAGGTATTTTCCAGAGCATTTTAGAAACTGGTAAGCTGTCTTGCCACTCACATGCTGCAGTGCTCCTTCTTATCTGTCCTTCCCCTGGAACTCTCCAAGTTCCCTTCAGTTGCTGCTGCTATCTCTGTGCTACCACAACCATGAATTCACATTTTGGACTCATTCACTACCCTGTTTGCTTATCTCAGCTTTGCTACCTTTCCTTCCCTCCCTACTTTACTTCTCTTATGTCTTCCCTCCTGACAATGTATGAATGAGAAAAGTTTACCCCTTTAAAGACAACATTCGTCCTAACATTCATCTGTGAATGGTTATTAAAAGTAAGACCATCTAAAAAAAACCCCTTGCCAGTGTTTTGAAAAGGAAATAGGCTCATATCCTGTGCCCATTTTTCAATTGGATTATTCTCCTTGATCTTGTTGTGGTGCTCGAGTATTTTATAAATTCTAGATATAAG